GGTTCTGTGGGAGAAGTGCACTCAGGGAGCTTGGTACTGCAGATGATGTGCTAAGTACCACGTGCCACAGAGGAGGCTAGTGCGTGGCCGAGTGGGTTAGAGAAAGCTCCTTAGGGAGGAACTGTTTAAGAAAAAAGAAAATAAAACTACTCAGAGGTGCTGCAGGGGGAGAGGGAATTCCAGGCAGCAGGGCCTGGCACATCAGAGGAGTCAGGTGACGCCAAGACCCTGTGTGTCATTAGCGTGGCTGGGCAGGGGCAGCACTCCTCAGACTGTAATGTACACTTGAATCCCTTGGAAATCTTGACTGAGTAAACCTGGGGCCTCCCAGGCGGTGCTGGCTGGCTGCTGGTGTGCAGACATACGAGGACTAGGCAGAATATGGAGTTCATGTACTACTACTACTAATGTAACAGCCACAGCCAGCGTCTGCGTACACGGTTTGTGGTATTCCTGGCTCTGTGTGCAACTTACATGCATCTCATTGAACCCTTACACCGACCCTATACATAGAGAAACAGGATCATCCCCATTCATACTTGGGGAGACTGAGGGACAGACAGGCTGGGTGGCACAACAAAGCAGAGGGGGCTGCGGTTAGAGGCAGGCCCCAGGTAACAGCCGTGAGAAGGAGGTTGTGTTGTGCTGAAAAGCTTGGACTTAATCTTGAAGGAGGAAGTTGGACAATGATTAACAGGGGGGACTGGAGGACCTTTTTTCTTTTTTAAGATTTATTTATTTGAAAGGCAGAATGATAGAAAGGGAGAGATAGAGAAAGAGATTTTCCATCCACTGGTTCATTCCCTAAATAGTTGTAATGGCTGGGCCTGGGTCAGCCTGAAGCCAGGAGGCTGGCACTCCACCCAGTTCTTCCATGTGGGGGCAGGGCCCCAGGTACTTGGAGCATCCTCCACTGCTTTCCCAGGAGCAATAGCAGGAGCTGGATCAGAAGCAGAGTGGCTGAGACTTGAACTGGCGTTCTGGGTAGGGGATGCCGGCACTGCAAGTCGTGGCTTAACTTGCAGTGCCACGCCGACCCTGGAAGTTCACTTTCCATAGCAATTGCTCTGCCCGTGTGCCCCCCACAAGGGAAGCATCCTGTGAAGTTTGGTTCATCAGTGAGGACCTGGATGCCTGACTGCTGAGTTTGTTTCAATCAAGTCATTTACGACTTCCAGACTCTACCCCTTATTACTGTAGTTTTTGGTTGATGTTTCACTTCATCATCTTGGTTAATATTTAAGTGACTGATTCAGCATAGCATTTGAGTTTATTTTTGAACCTCACCTTAATGACCTGCCTAAAAGTCAGGAACGAAGCTTCTTCCTGCAGAGCAGCATTGCCTGGTAAGACCGGCTTGCAGTTGACGGAAATGACAACTTGGAGTCTTTGATCATCCAATCTGAGCTCATTTAAAGGTTTAGATGACCATTTCATTGTCAGAGTTCTCCATGCCTTGTATTTTTTCCTGTGTGGGTTTTAGCTATCTAAACACTTTCGTTATGAGCTGCGTGTCAAGATTGATTATCACATTTTGAAACCAAGTCGAACACCGGTTTAAAACCCTGACTTTTCTACCTGTCTGTGAAATTCAGACAAATGAAAAGGGAATAAGACAGGGCTGTGTGTTGTGAATTACTGCCTCTGTCTCTCCTTGTCAGAATGTTTGAGAGGTAGCCATCTTAGCTTATGTAAAGATTGTTTTTCCCTTCAGCGAGCCTTTTGCTTTGTTGAATTGCCAGTTTGAGATTCGCCATTAAAAACCAGGGTTGGTGGAAAATAGTGGTCCCTTAAGGAGGCACTCTGGCAGCTGTGACAATGACATCCACCCCCTTGAATGTGCGCCATTCGGGCTGCTCGTGTCTGACTCTGCGGCAGGTGCCGTCTCTACTCCCCATGTCCCCTCTCCCAGTGGGCCAGCCCCTGCGGCTGTGTGGCTTGGTTTGTATTCTTTTCCTGAGTGCGTTACCACCTCCTTTTCCTGCAGAGGTGTCCTTCCTGATGCTTGCCGTGGGAGCCGAGATCCGCATCCTCCCTCTTTGGCTCTGTCCTTCCTGGATTCACTTAATCTTGCCAGGTTTTGCTGGGGGGACTTCAGGAGAGCAGGTGTCTGTGTAGACGCAGGCTGTCCACCTGTGGCACTGACTTGGGCTTTTGGCCTGGGGAGATTGCAAAGCTTCACTCATAGGGATTGTGTGCCTATCACCCAGCGGCACCAAAACCACGCTTCCATTGTGCTCCAATATCCCAGTCCAAGAGCTGGCCTGTGGCTTGTTCTGAATAAATCAATGATCCAAGTAGGTAGGTCTCAAACTCCTCAAGAACATGGTCATATCTTATTATTTGTCTGCTCTACACCAATAGAGGTTGGCATCCCTAATCTGAAATTCCAGACCATAAGCAGAAAATTTCATACCCTGAAACTTTGTTTTATATACAAAATTATTAAAAATATTCTATAAAATTATCTTTCTGCTGTGTGTATAGGTGTATATGAAACATGTATGACTTTTTTTTTTAAGATTTATTTTATTTACTTGAAAGAGTTACAGAGAGAGGTAGAGACAGAGAGAGAGGTCTTCCATCTGCTGGTTCACTCCCCAGATGGCCGTAATGGCTGAAGCTGCACTGATCGGAAGCCAGGAGCCAGGAGCTTCTTCCGGGTCTCCCATGTGGGTGCAGGGGCCCAAGGACTTGGGCCATCTTCTACTGCTTTCCCAGGCCATAGCAGAGATCTGGATCAGAAGAGGAGCAGCCAGGACTCGAACTGGCGCCCATATGGGATGCCGGCACTTCAGGCCAGGGCTTTAACCCATTGTGCCACAGTGCTGGCCCAATGCATGGCTTTTCATGCTTGGCCTTTGGTCCTGTCCCCAAGATATCTCACTTTGTGCAAATACTACAAAGTTTGAAAAAAAACCAGATCTGAAGCCTGATCCCATACATTTTGGATAAAGATATTTGGACTCATTGGTTTTCATTCTTAATAACTGTTATCTTTAAATTGTTAAACTGCTGCCTGCAGTGCCAGCATCCAATAGTGGAATGCCAGTTTGAGTTCTGTTGCTGCACTTCCCATTGAGCTCCCTGTTAATGTACCTGGGAAAGCAGTGGAAGAAGGCCCAAGTACTTAGGTCCATGCTACCCACATAGGAGAAACAATAAAAAAGCAGAAAAGGATTTCATGATCTCACCACTCTGAAAAAGAAAAATCATTGTCATCTTTTTGGTGCAAACCCTTCAGCTGTTGTTATGTACAGAGGTGGATGCAAGCATGCAGGTCATGCCATTTGCTGTTCTGGAAGTTCGACCATTTCACCTCTGAGCGTCTTTCCAAGGCATTAAATATTGTCCTAGAATGTCTGTTTTTTAAAAAAGGTTCATTTACTTATTTGATAGGTAAGACAGCTGAGAAAGACACACACACACACACACACACACACACAGAACTTTTATCTGCTGGTTCACTCTTCCATATTCCCTCAACAGCTGGAGCTAGGCCAGGCAGAAGCCATGAGCAGGAACTCCATCCAGGTCTCCTTCAAGGGTAGTGGTAACCCAATTATCTGCTGTTTCCCAGGTTCATTAGCAGGAACCTGGATATGAAATGAAGAAGGGACTCAAACCCAGGCACTCTGAGATGGAACATGGGCATCCCAACCAGTGGTGCAGCCTGCATCACACACCCACTCCTTCTAGAACCTCTTTTTAAATGACTGCAGTGTCGCTGTTGATTTCTTTCTGGGATGAGGAGTGTGGTGGGGGCAAGAGGCGTGGAGTCACCACACAGACCCCTGGGAGTCGGGTGAAAGCAGGCCCGAGGGAAGCAGCCTGCAGACTTGTTTATTTCAGTTGCTACAGCAGCTTATATAGCCAAGGCAGCCAATCCAGTCAAGGGGCGGTCTATGCCCTAACCAATCACACCCTGTTGCCAGGCAGTTTCTGAAGCCATCCAATCACAGCCTATTGCCAGGCAGACTCTGCTGTCATGTGATTTCTGAAACCATCCAATCACAGCCTGTTGCCAGGCAGTTTCTGTTGCCAGCGGCCATCTTGGCATGGCGTTCTCATTCCACCACACTGCAGAGCATTCTTTTGTATGAATAAATGAATGATAAACATTTTTTTTAAATTATAATTTATTTGAGAGAGAGATAAACACAGATAGATAGATAGAGGTCTTACCTGCTGGCTCACTCCCCAAGTGTCTGAAACAGCTAGAGCTGGGCTAGGGCTACAGCCAGGAGCCAGGAACTCAACCCAGGTCTCCTACATAGGTGGCAGGAACCCAGTTGCTTCAGCATCACTTCTTCTTTTTTTTTTTTTTTTTTGGACAGGCAGAGTGGACAGTGAGAGAGAGACAGAGAGAAAGGTCTTCCTTTGCCGTTGGTTCACCCTCCAATGGCCACTGTGGCTGGCGCACTGCGCTGATCCGAAGCCAGGAGCCAGGTACTTATCCTGGTCTCCCATGGGGTGCAGGGCCCAAGCACTTGGGCCATCCTCCACTGCACTCCCTGGCCACAGCAGAGAGCTGGCCTGGAAGAGGGGCAACTGGGACAGAATCCTGCACCCAGACGGGGACTAGAACCCGGTGTGCCGGCACCACAAGGCGAAGGATTAGCCCATTGAGCCACGGTGCCGGCCCAACATCACTTCTGCCTCCCAGGGTCCACATGAACTGGAAGCAGGAACCAGAGTCAGAAATCGAACCCAGGCACCCGGATGCGGGAGGCAGGCATCTTGACTGTCAGAGCCGATACTCACCCTTGAGTGATACTTTCTCAGGCAGCTCTGTCCTGTTGGGTATTTTAAAATTCAACCTCTAAAATGTTTTTCTCACTGTTGATGCAGTGTTCATGAGAGTGTTCTTGTAGCCATCTCACCTGATGGTGCATTTCTGAGGATGAATTCCTTAAAGCAGAACACAGAGCCAGAGTTTGCTTTTGTGTATGTATTGTCGGGTGACTTAATGCATAAGATTTATTTTTCTTTCCTTCTAGACACTACAACAACAGGAGTGCAAACTTCTCTACAGCCGGAAGGAGGGTCAGAGGCAAGAAAATAAAAACAAAAATAGATATAAAAACATCCTGCCTTGTAAGTATTCACGTCTGCTGCAGGCTGGTCACTGTAGCTCGGACACTGTGATATGTCCCTGTCACTCCTCCTGGGGGGCGGGTGCTCTTGTTAGCAGATTCGAGACCTGAGCCTCTTACTTATGAGCAGTTTGTAAAACAGTCTCCAGTGGTGGGGATTGAAGGACTCATTCAGTGAGCTCCTGTCCTGCTGATGACAGAGTAAAATCGCCTCTAGGAGGCTTTGGCTGTGGTCATTCCCTTCTGCAAATTAACTGATTGATTGATTTTCTGTCTGCCCAAGAGGCTTGTGATCTCCTAGCGCCAGGCCACTTGCCATGAGCCTCAGGGATCCGAGTTTGTGTCTTTGCTCCACGTACCCAGCTTGTGGGTCTTGGATGAGGTGCCCCTCCTTTCTGGCCTCTGTCCCCTCGCTGGGAAGCAGCAGGCTCCTGCTGTGCTCGCTGATCGCTGTGCTCACCTATGCTGGGCCCAGAGGAAGCGCTGTTGGTCTGCGGTTACTGTTGTGGCGCACCCGAGGCAGGCAGCTTTATAAAGAAACCAGGTTTATTTTGGCCCAGGGTTCTGAAGGTCCAGGGCTGAGGGGCTGGGTCGGTGAGAGCTTTGCTGCTTGGCAGAGTCCTGAGCAGGTTCGTCTCGTGGCAGTAGACAGGGAGTGTGTGTGTGTGTGTGTGTGTGTGCGTGTGTGTGTGTATGCGTGTGCGTGTGCATGCGTGTGCGTGTGTGGCCTGCTCTCCTTCTTACAAAGCCTCCAGGATTCAGTCACGGAGGCTCCACCCTGGTGCCCTCCCAGGGACCCCGCATGTAAACGCCATAGTCCGATTAAGTTTCCAGCCCTCCAGACCTCACAGTGGGGGTTGAATTTAACAAGGGGCTCTTGGGGATTGACTTAGACCATCCAGACCATGGCAAGGACCTTGGACATATTCAGAAGGCTGTACCTCCTGTAACACCACATGCAACTATACAGAGTCCAAGCTGAGCCATGACGGGGCAGGCCTTGGGGAGGGCTCCAGAATGGCCCAAACAAGTTGTAGCCTGCCTCTCCCAAGGGCTAGGTCCGCACCCAACCCTTTGCATCTGGACCTCACTTGATCCATGCTGCATACAGGAAGGAGGTGTTCTTATCATCCCCATCTCAGGCTGTTTGGTCAGGGTTGCAATGAGAGTTAGTGCAGAGCCAGCACTGCCACTGGTTTCATGCTCTTACGCAGGCTGGGCTGTGCAGGACAGGGCACAGAGGGAAGGGAAGGGAAGGAGCGTTCTGAAGTTCTCTTTGTTTATATCCTTTAAGAGAAAAAAACTTGAAAATTGTGATGCCTAGGTTGATGGCAGTGTGTGCATAATGTATTTATCCAATGAAACAATAAGGCTTATTTGTGTATATATCATACACGTATGTGTATTAGTTTCAATGTTCTAAAGCTTTTGATTGGGGTACATGATCAAAGTGATAGAGTATTGCTGACATCTCATCCGGTCAGAGCTGTCTGGTCAGATGTTGTAGACCCAACCTGTGTGTGTGTGTATGTGTGTGTGTGTGTGAGAGAGACAGAGAGAGAGAGAGAGAGAGAGAAACCTAGTCCTTCTGCATGTGTGTGTGCCTCTGTGTGGTGTGTGTTTATCACATCCACGTGGTGTGAGCACATGTGGAGGAGGGAAGTGAAGGCTTTTCCAGCACGAAACAAGGCAGCTAGGAGCTAGTGGAGAGGCAGTGTGAGCCGCAGCACGACCCTAACGACTGCGGGAGGCCTCGTCCTTTTCACGTTCAAGTTTACAGTTCTACTTAGGGGGTCCAGTGGTACTCATTAGTGAGACACTGGATGCAGAAAAGATGAAGAGAACAGCAGTGTGCAGTATCTAACATCTTTTTCTCCCTTAAACTTCCCCAACTGATGTTTCCTTTAACATTTTTTTAAAAAAGATGAAGAGTCTGAAACCAAAGAATATACATGTTACTGATCCTTTTTCTAAGACATGTTGCTTTACACAGAACACTCACGTTATGGATTGATTAATCAAGTTTTAAAATACTTATTTATTTATTTATTTGCGAGGGCGAGAGAGAAAGACATATGGAGATAGAAAGACAGATATCTTCAGCTGGGCCAGGCCAAAGCCAGGAGCCAGGAACTCTCTTCTGATCTCCCATGTGGGTGCAGGGACTCAAGTACTTGGGCCATCCTCTGCTGTCTCCCAGATGCACTAGTAGGAAGCTGGATTGGAAGTGGAATAGCCACTATTTGATTCAGTTTGGAGTCAGACATCCGGAGCAGCAGCTTAGCCTGCTGCACCACAATGCCCGCCACAGATTTTTATACCAAGATTGTGTTTGTACAGCTTTGGTCAGCGGAAAGTGGCAGGGGTCGTCATTCTGGTGCAGCCAAGTAAGCTGCTGTGTGTGACGCTGGCATCCCGTAGGATCACTGTTTCAAGTCCAGGCTGTTCCACTTGCAATACAGCTCCTTGCTAATGTTCCTGAGAAGGCAGCGGAGGATGACCGCTGCTGCCCACATGGGAGACTCAGGTGAGTTCCAGGCTCCTGGCTTTAGCCGGCCCCAGTCCTGGCCGTTGCAGCTGTTTGAGGAGTAAACCAGTGGATGGAAGGTATCTCTCCCCCTCTATCCCCTTAACCGTCTTTCAGATAAACAAATACACCTCAAAAAAAAAAAAAAAAAAAGGAAGCTATCAGAATTTTGTTTTCCAGACACTATATTTTGTTCTGTTCCATGAAAACTATTATGGAAAATTTCAAATATATTTAAAAGTAGACAGAACCTGTGCATACCTGTCACCCTCTGTCAGCAGTGATCAGCTCATGCCCAATCTTATTTTGTTTATACTCTGATCTACTCCTCAAGTTATTTTGAAGCAAATCTCAGACATTATGGCATTTATCTGAACTTTACTCTTTTTTTTTTTTTTAAAAAGAAATCTCTTGGTTTCAGAATATTTTGGATTGATCAGAAGTTATAAAAATAGTATGGAGGGCCCCCATGCACCCATCCCCACTGTCCCTCGTGAGAAGTACTGTTGACCCCTAGTATGTTACTAGGCACGGGGAACTGTAGAGGAAGCATTGTCAGGCTCATGGGGCATTTACCGTTGTGCTTATTGGGGTTTAATTTTTTTGTGGCTTCATCATTAAATGAACAAAACTTAGATGAGTGTGTGGCGTGGCTGCTGTGAACTGGTGTGTCTTGAAGCAGTCTGTGTTCCAAGGTGACAGTGGTCTCCCTCTCTTCCAGTTGACCACACCAGGGTCGTCCTGCATGACGGGGATCCCAACGAGCCTGCTTCGGATTACATCAACGCAAACATCATCATGGTAAACTTGGCCGTTCATGATGTTCTCTGACCACACGTTGCCAGCAGGTTTCTGTACTGCAAATCCTTCCTTGTGTCCTGAAAGCAATATTCGAATGTCTGAAGGATTTTCTTCCTACATTCTAGCCTGAATTTGAAACCAAGTGCAACAATTCAAAGCCCAGGAAGAGTTACATTGCCACGCAAGGATGCCTGCAGAACACGGTGAACGACTTCTGGCGGATGGTGTTCCAGGAGAACTCCCGTGTGATCGTCATGACAACAAAAGAGGTGGAACGGGGAAAGGTACATTCTGTAATGTTTTCTCACAAGGTTTTATTTATTTGAAAGGAAGAATTACACAGAGGGAGAGGCAGAGCAGAGAGAGAGAGAAGTCTTCCGTTTGCTCGTTCACTCCCCAATGGCTGCAATGGCCAGAGCTGGGCCAGACTGAAGCCAGGAGCCAGGAGCTTCCTCCGGGTCTCCCACATGTGTGCAGGGGTCCAAGCACTCGGACCACCTTCTGCTGCTTTCCCAGGCACATTAGCAGGGAACTGGATCAGAAGTGGAGCAGCTGGGACTCGAACTGGTGCCCGTATGGGATGCTGGTGCTGGAGGCCGGGGCTTTAACCCACTGCGCCACAGCGCTAGCCCCAGTTTATGTTTATAATGCCTGTGTGCTAATGTCCTTGTGTGCTAATACTGTTATATGTATCATTTCATTTTTCCAGTTTTTTAGTTGTCCAAGGTGGGAGGGTAACTCGTAACCACGATGGAGAAGGGCTTTAAGGAAGCCTGTGATGAGAGCCTTGAGGAGTAGTGGGTTCACTGCTCAAGTCAGCTGTCTGTATGAAGACTTTGAATCATCTAAACTGTGTGTTCATGTAAATATTCTCACATTACAGTTAAGGTTGAAATCGCCTGTGTCATCCTTCTCTGTCCCCTCCTCCAGCCTAAAAGTCCTGTTCTCGGTTTGAAGTGTCATTTCTACACTGTTGATGCATACTGGCATCTCATTCTATCGAGCAATTGCGTGATACTCTGGTGGGGATGGACCGTAATTTATTTAACCGTCACGCCGTAGGTAGGCAATTAAGTGTGCCGGTTTTTGCTCCTGCAGGCGGTACTGAAGTGAACACAGTCTCGTTCTCGTCTCCATGTGCACATGGCGAGTGTATCTCTAGCTTAGATGTCAAGAAGGAGTGCTGGGTCATCCGATGTGCGTGCTGTCCGTTTTCAGGCAGTTACAAAGCTCGTGTTAAGAAAGCAACTGCTAGGCCGGCGCCGCAGCTCACTAGGCTAATCCTCTGCCTTGTGGCGCCAGCACACCGGGTTCTAGTCCCGGTCGGGGCGCCGGATTCTGTCCCGGTTGCCCCTCTTCCAGGCCAGCTCTCTGCTGTGGCCAGGGAGCGCAGTGGAGGATGGCCCAAGTGCTTGGGCCCTGCACCCCATGGGAGACCAGGAGAAGTACCTGGCTCCTGCCATCGGATCAGCGCGGTGTGCCGGCCGCAGCGGCCATTGGAGGGTGAACCAACGGCAAAGGAAGACCCTTCTCTCTGTCTCTCTCTCTCACTGTCCACTCTGCCTGTCAAAAAAAAAAGGCAGCAACTGCTAACATTGTCACAGTCCATGATTACCTGAAAGAAAAGAAAACATGGTAGGAGGAAGTTTCAACACAAGGATGTGGTCTCTTATTCTGGATTCAGCCTTTCCTCTGGTATTCTGCAGATCAAACCAACTCTTTGACAGACCTGATACAATGTTTATTTTCCCCAAAGAGTACTCAATGCCACCCTCTGAGGTGGCATTGCCCTCTGAGGGGCCGGCCCTGTGTCAGACTCCGCCAGCGGCCAGCGGCATCTGCCTCCTGCCTGGCTCCCCACACACTGCGCAGCACTTCCGGAAACTCCCACACCTCAGAAGTGCGGACGGATCTGACAGTGACGTAGCTCCCTGTGTTATTCCAAAGTGAGCCCATCCAGGCAGGGTTTATTTTATTTATTTATTTTTTAAAATGAAATGGTTCTGTTTTTGTTTGTGTTCTAATCAAAGATTTTTTTAGATGCCCTTTAATTGGCTTATGTAAGAATTACGTGAAATGTAGCAAGCACACCTCTGCCCAAGGCAGATGGGGGGACTTGGGATCTTAGCCCTCCCACATGTCAGTTTGATTGTACAAGGTTTCTGTGCCGTCCTCCGAGACGATACCCATCAGCCCACTTGAGAGGCCAGACCTGGTGAGCTGTGCGGCAGAGCTTGCCCGCGGCAGCTGCCTGCAGGCGATGGAGTGTTCTTGAATGAACGGACCTGTCCAGACTCTTCACAGTTCCTGCTTCGGGCGAGAGTTGCCTGTGCTACGTACGGAGAGACGCTGGAGGTCCTCTGTCCTTCTCCCCGGAGGCCGATGTGGGAGGCCGCCTGTCCTCGGGGTGGGGGGGGGGCTGTGGAGAGAGGCTCTCGCGTGGCCTCCGAGGAAGCAGTGGCAGTCCCCCTCAGAGCTGCTGCACACAGACCTGGGCCGGAGCGCTCGGCCGCATTCCTCACTGCCCCGCCCGGTCTCTGCCTGCTTTCCCACCCTCCCTCCTTGGTTTGGGGCCGCAGAGCGGAAGGCACAGCGAGCCTTTACCCTCTCCACTGGTCTTTCTGATGACCTTGGTACCCCCAGGACTCAGAGGAACACCAGACCCTGGACTCCTTTGGTTCCTGAGCTTCAGTTGAAAAGAACGTGTCAGCCCTCGTGTCTTAGAATCGGTCTCCGAGGTTTGTAGAGTCTGGGCAACCCGGGGGAGGGCTGCAGCAGTGCGCAGGCGCCTCAGGTCGGCTGGGACGGTCCAGGGTCGTCGCCCGCTCTGTTCTGCCAAGCTCTCTGTGGTGACTGAGTGTTCTCAGAGCGGATTGTCCAGCAGTGGCATGGAGTACGTTGAGTACTCTTTGGGGAAAATAAACATTGTATCAGGAGTTGGTTTGATCTGCAGAGTACCAGAGGAGAGGCTGAATCCAGAATAGGAACAAGAGACCGCATCCTTGTGTTGAAACTTCCTCCTACCACGTTTTCTTTCAGGTAATCGTGGACTGTGACGATGTTAGCAGTTGCTCTCTTAACACGAGCTTTGTAACTAGTTTTTTTTTTTTTTCTTTTTAAAATAAAGCCATTTTAATTAATTGAGAGGCAAAGAGAGAGAGGGTGGGAACCAGAAGGAGCGTGCTTCTACCTGCAAGTTTATTCCTCCAAAGAACTACAGCAGCTGGGGCTGGGCCAGGGCTGAAGCTGGGAGCGGGGACTCAATCCACATCCCCAGGTGGGTGGCAGGAACCCAGTTATCTGAGCCGTCCCTACTGCCTCCTAGAGGGTACATTAACGGGGAGCTGGAGTCAGGAGCTGCTGTGGGGAACTGAACCCAGGAATCCTGGTAGGGAAATGAGTCAGCCACGGGGCTCCATGCTTGTCCTCATAGCTGGGACTTTCTTCCTGATCTGCAAGATCCATTTCTCTTGCTGATATTTGTGCCTTGATGGCTTTAGGAAGTTTGTGGAATGGGCGACTGTCCCCAGAGAAAAACAAAACATAAAACCTTTCCCTGCCCGGAACCCATCAGCAGATAGATGCACACACACCTCCCATTGAGCAAAACGGCTCCCTTTTTGGCAGCGGAAACGGTTTCCTTGGTGCTGCGCTTTTCAGCTCGCCTGCTCCTGAAGCCAGCAGCGACCGCGGGCTGGGCACTCAGTTCAGGGGAAGTGACGCGCATAGTAGGTATCAGATGGGTCTGGGGATAGAAGAAGCAGTTGGGTCAAAGCCCCGTAGGCTGCCTTTCCGTGACAGAGCTGTTCACACTTGGGTGAGAGAAGGCCTCGAGTCCTCCTACACAGGTGCGGAAATGAACCAGACGGTCTGGCTCGGTGGGCAGCTCAGCCGCCTCCACATCCTTGTTTGCCTTGCCCTCAGAGTGACTGGCAGATCTCTAGGACTCCAGACTCCGTGGTGCTAGACAGCAACAAACTGGAGCCCCTCCCTCTCTGGGGCTTGTTCCCTTAGAGATGAGCAAGCGTGGACTCGCCTTTGACCGTGACTTGATGGGCAGCTCCGGGAGAGCCCGGTTCTCGTCCCACTTCTCTAAGCACCTGCTTTTCTTTCTTTTCTTTTCTTTTTCTTTCTTTCTTTCTTTTTTTTTTCTTTTCCTTTTTTTTTTTTTTTTTTTTGACAGGCAGAGTGGACAGTGAGAGAGACAGAGAAAAAGGGCCTTCCTTTACTGTTGGTTCACCCTCCAATGGCTGCTGTGGCCGGTGCACTGCGCTGATCCGAAGGCAGGAGCCAGGTGCTTCTCCTGGTCTCCCATGGGGTGCAGGGCCCAAGCACTTGGGCCATCCTCCACTGCACTCCCGGGCCACAGCAGAGAGCTAGCCTGGAAGAGGGGCAACCGGGACAGAATCCAGCGCCCTGACCAGGACTAGAACCTGGGGTGCTGGTGCCACAGGCGGAGGATTAGCCTATTGAGCTGTGGCGCCGGCCCAGCACCTGCTTTTCTTATTTGAGCCCTTCCTTCCTTATATTTTTATCTATTTATTTTCATTTTGTTTCAAAGGCAGAGAGAGAGAGTAAGAGAGAGTGAGTGTGTGTGTGAGGGAGAGAAGTCCTCCATCCCCATTTGACGCCACAAATGCCTGCAACAGTCAAGGCTGGGTCATGCTAAAGCCAGGAACCCGGAACTCAAGTCCGGGTCTCTCACATGGGTGGCAGAGCCCAAGGACTTGAGCTGTAATCTGCTGCCTCCCAGCATCAGCCTTCTTGTGTTAGCAGGAAGCTGAGTTTCCAGGAAGCAGAGTAGCCAGGGCTGGCACCCAGCTCTGACAGGGGCTGCGCTTGTCCCTGGTCGTGAGTTAACTGTTGAGCCACACGAAGAAGCCAGACGTGCCATTTCCCTGTTAGACTGTTTGCTGCCAGCCTAGGCTTTTGTTGGGAGCTCACGGAGGTTAACTGTCTTTTCTCTGGTCCCTTCCAGAGTAAATGTGTCAAATACTGGCCCGATGAGTATGCTCTAAAAGAATACGGTGTCATGCGTGTTAGGAACGTCAAAGAAAGTGCCGCTCATGACTATACCTTAAGAGAACTTAAACTTTCGAAGGTCGGACAAGTAAGTATATTGTCGTATTTTAGAGGCCGGGGCTCGTGGTGTGCAGTGGTCCAGGGTCTTGCAGCTACGCTCGTGTGCATGCACTCCTGCCTGCCTTCACACATTGATTAAGTAGCCGTTGTTGGGATACCTTCTGTGTGCCAAGCACAGTCAGGCACTCCTGGTGCATGTGAACGAGACAGGCATGGCTGTGCCCTCCCAGTGCCTGGGGAGAAAGGACATTTAGAGTAAATTGAGCTCCCTGAGTTCAGTCTGTAGGGGCCCAGGGTGGTTGGTGTGTTCCTGAGTGACTGGGGCCTTGAGATGGAGTCCGTGGGGCAGGTCTCTCTCAGAGCTGATGTTCCAGGGTGGCCCCTAAACCAGGCAGCTCCACTGTCAGGGAGTGAGAGACCTGCCCCCAGAGTGGCTGCATGTCCACGCCCTGCACCTTGGAAAACGGTCAACAAGGTCTCTGCCCTAATTCTTCCTTCCTGGGCAGGGTGGAGCTTATGTGATGTTGCATGGCAGTGCTTTAGAGAAAATATAAAATTCTGTACAAAATAGAAACCACATTACCAGGATTCAGGAGAAACCAGCAGTCTTCCATCAGCACCTGCACCCAGGGTGCCAAACTCCTGGGCCAGTGTGCTACTGCAAAGGAGCTACGCAGGGAGGTGGCGGGGGGTGTGGGGGTGTCCTGACAGCTACTCAGAAACCCGTGGTGATGAGAAGATGGGGCATTTGTCAACAGAACCGAAGATAAGCGTCTCCGGCACCTCGGTCTCTCATTTCTGCTTGGCAGCTACCTTTGTAATTGTCGCTTGCCTTGGGTTGTCCCCAGATATGCAGGGACTGGGTAGCCATGACTAGTGCCACTGCAGTGACCTGGGCTGGGCTGAGCACAGACATAATCCCCCTTGTCTCCTGCAGTCTCGGGGCCTTCGCTGTCTCTGTTTGCGATCCCTGTCCTCAGATCAGCCCTCGGGTGCTGACCAGTGGCAGTGTGCCGCTGAGCTGTCCGTCCCCACGGTGGTATAAAGAGGCGGCGAGAGAGAGGCGATTCTTCACATTTTGCACATGGAGACATTGAGGCTCAGAGCTGCCCAAGGGCTGGAGTGAGTGTGAATATCTGGGGTTTGAGCCTAAACCTCCCCACCCGACTCCCAAAGTCTATCTGCTTGGCTTCTTGGCACGGGAGCGCCCTGGAGACTCAAGTGGGCCTTTAGGTGGCCACTGAGCGCCGCCGGGCCCGCCAGCACCGGTGACTTCCGTAGCAGGTGGGAAAGCTCAGAACCAGGCGGCTCCTCCACCCCTTGATTTATTTAATTCGGTTCTGGTTTTTCTTGGCTCTACTCCAGGGGAATACGGAGAGAACGGTCTGGCAATACCACTTTCGGACCTGGCCGGACCACGGCGTGCCCAGCGACCCCGGGGGCGTGCTGGACTTCCTGGAGGAGGTCCACCACAAGCAGGAGAGCATCATGGACGCCGGCCCGGTCGTGGTTCACTGCAGGTGACAGCCCCTGCCCCTCCTGCCGCAGCCTGTGCCTGCCCCCCAGGGCTGCTTTCACCGGCCATCCCCGGCAGTTTACCTGTGCTTAAGGCCTGAGCAGGCTGCAGTAGGGATGCTCGCTTCCTACAGACCCTGCAGGACTGCGGGGTCGGGCTGGTGGGCGGGCTGGACACAGCCCTTGTTCTCACCGACGCCCCGTCTAGTGCTTCTGACTACGTTTTCTTTTGAAATCCAGTAATTTAGGGTCCATCTCTTTGTGATTCTGTTCTCTTCCGCTGAGGAAGTAAGAGATGAAGGGTGTTCACTGAGTTAGTGGAAAATGCATGTTCTAAAATGCTGTGTGTAGATTTCACAATTTTTTTTTGCACCCAAGGAAACTTATCTTTTAGCTCCACTTCCCACAAACTTTGTGATGTCCCCTCACGTATTTTCCCCGACCCTGTCCTTGTGCATATTTGCTTCAAAAGATTCCAACTGCTTCGTGCCGAGGCCTTTGATGGAAGCCGAGCCCTGCACCAGAATGTGCTGGCTGCTGGTATCCAAGTCTGCGCTTCGTGATTGTACTTGGGGAAGTCTGATTTCCTAATCTCATTTGTGTGTTGGACAAGTAGATGTGTGAGAGGACTTACTTGTTCTGTTTTTTAAAAAACTGCCATTTATTGTCCTAACCTCTGAATTAAGTGCTTTTCCTACATTATTATTTTTTTTTTTTAAATTATTTATTTGAGAGGCAGAGTTACAGAGTAGCAGAGGTGGAGAGAGAGAGATCTTGCATCTGCTGGTTCACTCCCCAAATGGCTGCAAGGGCTGGAGTTGCGCTGATCTGAAGCCAGGAACCAGGAGCTTCTTCCTCGTCTCCCACATGGGTGCAGGGGCCCAAGGACTTGGACCATCTTCCAGGCCATAGCAGAGAGCTGGATTGGAAGTGGAGCAGCCGGGACTCGAACTGGCACCCATGTGGGATGCCGGCACTGCAGGCTCAGTGCTACCTGCTACGCCACAGCGCCGGCCCCCCTCCATTATTATGTCTTATCCTCACCGTAGTCTGTGAAGCATCGCTGTTGTCCCCATTGCACAGGAGGGGACACTGCAGGGCTTGCCTCAGGCACACGGTACTGGAGAAGTTGGGCTTTAAGCCCTGGTTGGCTGATGGCAGAGCTCTGTGTTCATTGCTAATATATCTTCAGATATAAACATACTATGTTATAAGTACTCCCAAGAGCAGATATTGTTTCTGTTAATATTAATAGCTTGGTTTTTGGGTATAAAACTCCCGTGAGTGATTCCACTCTCCCTGCGTCTTGTCCTTCTGCCCACAGTGCTGGAATCGGCCGGACAGGGACGTTTATTGTGATTGATATCCTTATTGACATCATCAGAGAAAAAGGTAGGTCTCCCGGAGGGCCAGAAGCTGCAGCTCCGGCTGTTAGTTCCTGGAAGGAAGGCGCTGGGGAAGGGAATTCGAATGTGAAAGCGTCTCACGGAAACGGGCTGGCACTTCTGCTTTCAGTTCACGTGAGAACGGAAGTTGTGCTGTGTGAGCTTTTGGCCTCAGATGCAGCCCAGGAGCTGAGGACCCTACTGCCACGGCCTTTGTCGTGAAGGCAGTGGTGGGTTCCTACCCAGCTCCCGAGTGCTGGCTTACAGGACTGGAAAGGGGAGTCGGAATCCTGGTGTCTGACACGTTGCCGTCTTCCTGGGTCGCTGGGGTTGGGCCACAGCCCAGGGGAACGTGCTCAGCTCGCACCTTAGCGAATCTGCCTCCTCTCGCATCTGCTAAGAGCTGGATGTGGACGAGCTTCTCGCTGACCCTGCAGTCTCCTAATGCTTCGTGGTGGTTGGTTGCTTTGCAGGTGTTGACTGTGACATTGACGTGCCCAAGACCATTCAGATGGTGCGGTCTCAGAGGTCAGGGATGGTGCAGACAGAGGCGCAGTACCGCTTTATCTACATGGCTGTCCAGCATTACATTGAAACACTACAGCGCAGGATCGAGGAGGAGCAGGTACAAGCCAGGAGGGGCTGGCATGCAGGTTTTCACATCCTCTCCGGGCAGCCTGGGGGTGCTTTCCTCCTGAGCGGGGCCCCAGGCTCTGATAGGCACCTGTGCTTATTTGGGGGTGGAAACAAGTACCCACCTAGAAGGGCTTCCTGGAAGCGGTAGTTAGTTGCCACTCTGTTTGGTACAGAGGCACCCAGGGAGGGGCCCGCCAGGTGGAGCAGCTGCCGTGCCATGCCTGCGATTTTCCCAGGCTCACGTGGCAAGCTCAGCCCTCAAAGCCTTGGTGTTTCCAACCTGTTCCAGCTTTGATCCAGGCCATGTTTATTCTGATTCCATCTTCTAAAATGAATGCCTCACTCTTAATAGCGCACAGTGGTTTGAACTACTAATTTGGTCTAGTTGGAAACAGTGAAATTTCAGTTTTAATAAGCTGTGCATAATGAAGAAGGATGCGGAATTGGCACCTTTCCATTTGAAGCTTTTCATAACAGACACAAAACTGTGTTAATGAGGAACCTGCTGAAACGAGAGGAGGGAGGAGAGGACTGCTCCTTTGGGGAGCTGTGCCCGCCCCCTCTCCGAGCCCCCTCAGCCCTGTTGCTGTGCTGCAGATGGGGAGACGTCTAAACATCAGTGCCATTTGCCTGCTCCTCTCTGTTTAGTGCCTTCCAGAAAACTGTGTCTCAAACTGGGACCCGCCACCTACTTGAAATATCCAGTGGGATAGCAGCCACGCTGTCAATGTTGGCTTAGCCAGCGTAAGGCACCTGTGAATGAGTGTAGTGAATTCTCAGTCCACAGGGAGACACTGGATTGTTTAATTGTACAGAAGCAGCATATATAGAGAGGTCTGGGGCCAAATAATTAACAAGATCCCAGTTGTCATTTTATTTTTATTTCTTTTCTTTATTTGCATTTTATTTGAAAAACAGAAGGATAGAAAGAGACACAAAGACAGAGCTCTTCTATCCACTGGTTCACTCCCCAAACGCCCTCAACAGCTGGGTTTTCGCCAGGCTGAGACCAGGAGGCTGGGGCCCCGTCTGAGCCTTGCGCGTGGGCAGCAGGGACCCAGGGACTGGAGTCATGCCCTGCTGCCCTGCGGGGTGTGCGTTGAGCAGGCTGATACGGGCCGTGAGCATGTACCAAATGGTGCCTCCACAGCAGCGTGAAACGTCGCCCCAAGCTTGCGATGAGATACTCAGATGGCATCTGTCAGTTACGTGACACGTGCCTTCCAGTTGCTGAGGCCAGCCATAGTTTAAGGAGAAAGTTACGAAAGACTGTTAATCAGAGAATGTAGCACAGCCGCTACGTGTTGAAAACCATTCCGAAGGGTCTTGAAGCACACATTTAACCTTGCTCAGAAAAGTAGGGCTAAAGTGTAAGGACTCATTTCTTTTAGAAACTTAGAAGACTCTAGAAGATTTTTATTCTTGTTAGGAGGATTGAGGGTCTTCTTATTACCATAGGTTCTCCCTGACCCTAAAGCTAAAGTTTTGAGTTGGATTTAGGAACTAGTTTAAAAAAAAAAAATCTTCATTGCTACCTTTTTCTTGGAAGGGTTGTGGCTGGTAGAGGTCAAAAGCGAAACATAGTCCTTAGTACTTTAAAAACATTTTTTATTTATTTATTTTCATTTTATTTGAGGCAGAGAGAGACAAAAAGAGTAAGAGAGATCGTCCATCCTGTGGTTCATTCTTAAATGCCTTTCACAGTCAGGGCTGGGCAAGGCTGAAGCCAAGAGTCTGGAACTCAGTCTCTGCCAGATGGTGGCAGGAACCCGAGCACTGGGGCCGTCCTCTGCTGCCTCCCTGGCTCACATTAGCAGGGAGCTGGATGGGAAGTGGAGTAGCTGGGACTTGAGCTAGGCGCGCTGACATGGCGTGTGGGCGTCCCAAGCAGCAGCTTAGTTGCTGCACCCTTAATAATTCAGGTGTTACAGAATATGGAATGGGCAAAGTAACAGTCCCAGTAATCCTGCCTCTAAAGTGCTTGCAGTCATCATGCAGCCAGTGCTTTTTGGGTGTTGATATTGTTGGTGCTAGGTTAATAAGCATATTAACTACTGTTTTTACATGGGCCTTTGGGCTTTTTTTTTTTTTTGTAAAGGTTTGTTTATGTATTTGAAAGTTGGAGTTACACAAAGAGAGAAGGAGAGACAGAGAGAGAGAAAGAAGCCTTCCATCCACTGTTTCACTCCCCAGCTGGCCACAATGGCCAGAGCTGTGCCTATCCGAAGCCAGGAGCCAGGAGCTTCTTCCAGGTCTCTCATGCCGGTGCAGGGGCCATCTTCTGCTGCTTTTCCAGGCCATAGCAGAGAGCTGGATCAGAAGTGGAGCAGCTGGGACTCGAACTGGTGCCCACAAGGGATGCTGGCACTGCAGGTGGCGCCTTTACTTGCTATGCCACACACAGCACCAGCCCCATTCATTGGCTTTTTTTTTTTTAAATGGGCAGGAGATCTATTTTATTTTATTTTATTTTATTTATTTATTTTTATTTAATGAGCATAAATTTCCAAAGTACAGCTTATGGACCACAATAGCCTCCTCCCCCCTGTATCTTCCCTCCCACCCACAACGCTCCCCTCTCTCACTCCCTCTCCCCTTCCCCTTCACATCAATTCATTGGCTTTTAAAAATGGGATCCTATAACTTGTTGCTCTCTGTGTTGGACCATTTTAATCAGTCTAGGAACTCGCAACCTAGTTTGTGGAAAAGAAGTATCTTCAGTTAGGTTTTAGTGGCAGTCTGAAAACCCACCAAGTTTTTCTTTTTTAAGATTTATTTGAAAGAGTTGAAGAAAGAGAAGAGGCAGAAAGAGAGATCTTCAATCTGCTAGTTCACTTCCCAGATGACCACAATGGCCAGCGGTGGGCCAGGAGCTTCTTCTGGGTTTCCCATGTGGGTGGCAGGGGCTCAAGTACTTGGGCCATCTTTTTTTTTTTTTGACAGGTAGAGTTAGCGTGAGAGAGGGGGGGTCTTCCTTTCCATTGGTTCACCCCCAAAATGGCCATCACAGCCGGTGTGCTGTGCCGATCCAAAGCCAGGAGCCAGGTGCTTCCTCCCGGTCTCCCATGCAGGTACAGGGCCCAAGCACTTGGGCCATCCTCTACTGTACTCCTGGGCCACAGCAGAGAGCTGGACTGGAAGAGGAGCAACCGGGACAGAATCTGGTGCCCCAACCTGGACTAGATCCCAGGGTGCCGGCACTGCAGGCAGAGGATTAGCCAAGTGAGCCACGGTGCCAGCCGTGGGCCATCTTCTGCTACTTCTCCCAGGCCATTAGTAGGGAGCTGCATCAGAAATGGAGCAGCCAGGACACGAACCGGCACCCATATATGATGCTGGTGTTGCAGGTGACAACTTGACCCACTATGCCGCAATGCCAATTCCTACATTTATTTCAAGGCTTTTCCCCTTTATAAAACAAGTCAGGGGGCTGGTGTTGTGGTGCAGCAGGTTAAGCTCCCACTTGGGTGCCTGCATCCCAGATCAGAGAGCAGGTTTGATCCTGGCTGTTGCGTTTCTGATCCAGCTCCCTGCAGATGTGCTTGGGAGGCAGTGGATGATGGCTCAAATACCCGGGACCCCATGTGGGAGACCCCAGTGGAATTCTTAGCTCCTGGCTTTGGCCTGGCCACCCCCTGCCTGTTGCAGCTGTTTGGGGAGTAAACCAGCAGATGGAAAAATCTAGCTTCTCTCTGTCTCACTCTCTCTCTCTCTCTCTCTCTCTGTTGTTCTGTTGCTCTGCCTTTCAAGTGGATGAAAACAAACATTTAATTAAAGGGAAGAAGTCAAGTGTAGCAGGGACAGCTAAGTTTCCCTTTGACCCTTACCCCTGCATCCCCCGCATTCCATGCCTGAAACCCTCAAGCAGTCACTAGCCTTGCAGTCTCTTTTTAGATGATAAAACACGGGTACCTGTAAACTGTGGATTTCATTTAGTCAGTTCAGAACATTTGCCCAGATGGCATCACACTGCTTGACTGTTGTGGGACTTGTGTTTTGCACTTAGCATTGTTTATGAAATGTGTTTTCATAAACAGTGTTTTATGGAGCCTGTGTTGTTGCTCTTCACTGCCACATTTGACTTCGCCGTGTGAATGCATCGCGTTCCTCTGTCCTGTCAGTGGGCCTTGTCAAGAATGTCCTGTCCCACACCACAGCTCGTGCAGGCTCACGGCAGGGGTTCCTGGAGAAGCAGCTGGTCAGGGTTGTGAGCTCTGCGCCTTTCGGTTTTGCTGCCTGCTGAGTTCCTAGAACTACTGCCTGGAACGGTGCGCCACAGCGCTGGTGCCCGCTTCCCTCCTTCGCGGTGCGTGGAAGCTCCCGCGTCTACGCAGTGTTTGAAGGGGCTGCACTCCCACAAGGAAGGTAACATTATGGGATGCTGCTCACTTGACAGATGAGATTTTCAGAATTGGCTGTGTTTAGGGAAAAATTAGAAAAGAATAAATCATCTACCCAAGAGTTCTGGAAGTGTAGTTCACTCTGTGTCTGAAATGGGACACCTTGCTACTGGCCGTCTTTGCCCCGCCCCCAGGTATGGTTAGAGCCAAAACTGAATAACTAAAGGAGCTTGGGTCTTTTCTGGGGGTGAGGGGAGGAGAGGGTGGAGTGCCTTATTGTTTCTAGTGAGAGTGCAGCCGTTAGACGCCTCTCCCAGCCGTCTGCCGGGAAATCGTTACATGCGCCACCAGTGACCGGGTGCCAACGCGGCAGAGAAGGTGTGAGCTCCCCTTGCTCAGCTACAGGTCCTGAGGTTCAGTACCGCAAGGCGGGAACGTCGGACGCTCCGTGCTTTGGAGTGGAGTGGCTGCCGCGAACTTCGCGCTCACGCGGTGTGTTTACCTTGAGGTGGATTCCGGAATCATCAGGTCTACGTCAGCATCCTCAGGGCTCTGGCCTGTCTGGCTTTCTGTGGCTCTTTTTAAAATTTCTTGGTGAAATGCCTGTTTTGATTCTTTCTTCCTTTACAAAAGTCACAGTGCCTCATACGTGTGCTCTTCCCACTTTCAGAAAAGCAAGAGGAAAGGGCACGAATACACAAACATCAAGTATTCCCTCGCCGAGCAGACAAGCGGGGATCAGAGCCCCCTCCCGCCCTGTACCCCCGCGCCTCCCTGTGCGGAGTAAGTAGTGAAGAAGGAAGTTCTTACCGGAACGGAGGTTTTTGAAAAGCCTTTGCCGCTCTCGCATCTCTCCGGCACACGGTGGTGTTGCCTGGTGACCCGTGTGTCGGTGACGGCGGGTTCTGTGGGTTGACTCGGGACCACACGGGGGGCTTGCAGAGTTCACAGAAAATGCTTACTGTGGGGAGAAAAACAAGTGATGCATAGATTTCAGCAGTTTTTTATGCCAGAATAGACTTTTCCTTTAATTCCATTTTAAAAGAAAGATTTACTTATTTGAAAGGTAGACGGACAGAGATTAATTCCATTTTCCATGGACGTTTTAAAAAGTTCTCTCGTAAGTGTATCAGGCAGTGGTTTTCCAGGGAGAATCTTGAGTTTTCTTTTGTTGATGTGGGAATCATTGCTGAGGAGGGTCACGTCCCCTCTGACATGTTACGACTCTGCTAATGAAGAGTAAATAAATCAACAGTGCGTACATCAGTGCACTCATGGCCTGTCAGTTTCCCACCAGTAGCAGAAATGTACTTTGGGTATTTAAACCAGACATCAGCAAGCTACAGCTCAGAGGCCAAATCTGGTTTTTTCTGTATAGCCTGTGACTGGGTTTTAAAGAACAATAACACTACAGAAACTGCATGGCCTACCGAGCTGAAAATATGCACTCTTGTTCTTTCCAGAAAACTTTGCCACTCCTTGTTTAAACTAAAACATGACAGGAAGACATTCCGTTATATTGATTACAGGCATGACAGTTCTAAGTTGTTATTTTCGTATGTATTCTGAAGTCACTCTTCAGTATAACATTTACTTTTTATTTTCCCCTAAGAGTCTTGTCTCTCTTTGAATCTGATGTGGAATTTTAAAAGCCCTGCTGACTTTAATATTCTATACAAGCCTCTTAGGTCGCATCTGGGCAGCTTGCGTTTCCACTTACTTTCTGTTTCCATTGAAATGAAATTACATAGCGGAAGGATTCTCTCCTCCAAGCTGCCCCTCCTGCTGCCTGCTTTTCTGTGTCCCGTGGATGGGCTGGGGGAGCTGGCATTTTAAATCGCGCTCTGCAGAAGTTTGCCGAGGATCCGGAGCGTCAGGTCTCTGAGTCCTTGCCAGAAAGCTGTCTCCTCACGTCGGCCTCACAGAAGCAGCTTGAGCGACTACCCTTATTAGCAGCGGCAGCCCCGGGGCTGGCAGCCTCTCTGTCCGTCATCCTCCTTGTGGGGTGCACAGTCCTGGAGCCCCTGCAGGCTGGCACCCACGCTGCGGGGCTCTCTGCCCTGCCTGCCTGCTCTGATCTCTCCCTGCACTCAGAAATGAACTTGGGCTCCTCGATGCCTCCCAGCGCTCGGAGCCAACATTCCCCTACCTGGGTGGATGCTAATGGACCTCCAAGCCTGGCTGCTCCCACGCTTTATTTTCTTGGACCTTTGCTTGTTCAGATCCTTCTAGAAATCACTGTGATTCCTTTCTCTCCACCCTGCTTTGCAGTCTGACTCCAGGGCCTCATCCTACAGACTGCTTTGCGCTGCTCGCCTGAAAGACAGCCTGCTTCCATCCCACCCCAGACAGCACCGGGACTCGAGGCTGTCGTCATTGTATCGCTGTGTGTTCATGTCTTGCATCCCTTCCGGGAGTGTCAGCTCAGGGGAGCAGGGACCGTGACTGCATCGGAACTGGTCCCCGTAGGCAGTAGTGTGTGCTTTATGGGTATCTTGTAAGCTTAGGCAGCACGGACTGCACTTCTGTAAATGCCTTCCTTCTTTCCTCCACAGAATGCGAGAAGATAATGCTAGAGTCTATGAGAACGTGGGCCTGATGCAGCAGCAGAAAAGCTTCCGCTGAGCAGAGCCGCCTGGACCTGAGCGCAGAAACCGGTATGGAGACGCCAGTGCTGTCTCCGTTAGCGTCCCGTATGATTTGTGACTGCTTCAGTCCGTACCGGCATGGAATGCCATACACCAGCCTCCTTTTTCTCCTTGTATTTCTGTCTCCAAGCTAGATTTAGGTTGGAGTTCATATAAGCATTAAAATCCAATATAGAATGATGTGTGTAAGAAGCAAGGCGGGTACTTATCCCAGGCACAGGGGTTGATGTTGCTGGGAGAGAGTAGTTTTAAAATACACTTCCGTATTTCTTATTTGAAAGACAGAGACAGACAGAGGTCTTTCATTTGCTGGTTCACTGCTCAAATGCCCACAATAGCCTGGAACTCCATCCAGGTCTCCAGGTAGGTGGCAGGCACGTAAGTGCTTGAGCCATTCCTTGCTACCTCCCAGGTGTGTGTTAGCAGCAAACTGGGTTGGAAGCACAGGGGGACTTGAACCCAGGCGCTCTGAAACAGGATGCAGGTGTCCCAGGCGGCATCTTAACGGCAGTGCCAAGCACATGTCCCTAAGAACAATTTTTTTTTAAGATTTATTTTATTTATTTGAAAGGTAGAGTTACAGGGAGGGAAGGAGGGAGGGAGAGAGACTGAGAGAGATCAGTTGATCGTCCATCTGCTGGTTTACTCCCCAAATTGCTGCAATGGCCAGTGCTGTGCCAGGCTGAAGCCAGGGGCCAGGAGCTTCTTCTGAGTGTCCCGTACAGGTGCAGGGGCCCGAGGACTTGGGCCATCTCTGTGAGTCATTAAAACATACGCAATACGCGCTTGGGTCCCTGACTAAGTGCATTAACAGGGAACTGGACTGGAAGTGGAGCAGCCAGGACACCAACCAGCGCCCATGTGGGCTGCCAGGCATCGCACGTGGCTGCTTAACCCTCTGTGCCGCATCGCCGGCTGCCCTAAGAGTGATGTTTGTGAGAGTCGGTTAACCCAAGCTGTGCCAGGGGATGATCTGTTAAGGGACTGGGAAACGTCAGGACACAGCATTGGGTGGTTGGGGGCATCACGGTGCCTGAGTGCTCATCCCAGTTGGCCTCTCACCAGCTGTGAGACACGGGCGCTGGTGCTCCTGGCCTCTGGCGGTGTCAGCTCCACTCCCTTCCGGCTCTGAAGCTGAGCGCTCATCTCCCTGTATCCCTCTTCCCTGTCCATCACCTTCTTAGTCAGGGTCCCAAGTGCGTATTGCTTATGTTTCAATGACTCACAGAGTCAGTGCCTCAGGTTGAAACCCCCATTCCAGTGGGAATCTGGGCTCTTTGACACCACCGTGGGCCCCCTCCCAGGGCTCTAAACCACCCCTTTCCCTCAGGTCACTGAGCTGTGTGTTCAAGCCTTAAATGCACACTTCTAAAGTGAATGCTTTGTCATGCTTCCAGCTGTTTGGAGCTTAAACATTCTAACTTACTTCTCCCCAGCCGTGGACTTTCGTCCTCCCCCTGAAAAGATCAAGGACAGATGTGAGAAAGTCTACGTGAAGAATGAATCTGGGTCGGCAAGGCCGCACTGTGGCTGACTGCCTTTGGATAAGCAAAATTGGAAACCCTTTGAAGACCACCGTACTCTGACTCAACAGTTCATTTCCTTGGATAAGAAGGAATCATCTCTACAATGTAGACATTGTTACATTTTATAGAGTTTTGTTTTAATTGAGGAAGCAGTTCAACTGTGCTCTGTATTTTGCAGGTTATGGGGATTCAAGTTCTAGTTATGGGATATTTTTTAAATGTTATTTTTTCTTCTTGTAACCTTAATTTTTTTTTCTTTTGGTGGGGCATGATAGGGCACTTGTAAGAAGAAATAGTTTGGGGAAACTAAGTAACAACACATCCTTGAGAGAGGAGAACACTTTCATTGACCATGTTGCGTTAGTCTGTTTTGTGTTGCTAGAACTGAATCCCACAGCCCGAGTGATTTCTCATGAGCAGAGAGTTCTGCTCTTAGAGTTCTGGAAGAGTGAGGGGCCGCATCTGCGTGTGGTATCGGAACACATGGGAGGTGTCACGTGGCAAAAGGGGGCAAGAACGGGCTGAGCATGCTTTTATGACAAAACCCACTCTCGCAATAACAAGCCCGCCAGCGCGGGCACCTTAATGAACTCAGAAGCGCAGAGACCTCGTGACCCAAGCACCTGCCCCAGGCCCCGCCTCATCACCACTGGGGCACTGGGGCTCAGATTTCCAGCACATGAGTGTTAGGGGGCTTGGTCAAGCCTAGCTGTGATCCAGCAGTGGATACTTAGTTTTGATGGCTTTTTCTTTTTTCTTTTTTTTTTTTTTTGGCTAAATCAAGCCAATGCCTCAGTCAGTCAGAATTTGACTGTCTTCTTTTACATTGTCATTAAATGATCCTGGAGGGGGGAATCTTGGGAATATATCAATTAGGGTAAGAGCTGTCTTTTCTTAGCCTGTGACCAGTGACCATACAGCTGTTGGCTGCAAAGGTTGTGGTGGGAAAAGGGTGGCCGTATTTTCTTTGCATTTGACTGATTGTCATGTGTTTAGACAAAGGACATCTGTGGGTGACTAGTGTTTTGGTTATACAGTGTTGCTGGCAAACTACCCCAAAATGTGGCGGCTTCACGCAGCACCACCCCTCCCCCACATTCTGCTGGTCTTACAGGCGCCGCTGCCGCGCTGGGCAGGTGGCTGAGCCCCTGGGCTGACGGCGCCTTTCTCCGCATGCAGCCCCTCTCTGTCCATGTGGTCTCTGCCCGGGAACTCGCCAGCAGGTAGCTGGACCTCTCCCATGGCAGCTCAGAGCTCCCAAGAGTTCCACAGCAGACGCAGCCAGGATTCCTAGGACTTAGGCCCAGAACTGCCACAGCACCGTCCCCCTCCACGGGTAAACCAGTCGTGGGCCCAGCGCAGACTCAGCAGGGGGCACTCCTTGGCAGCCAGCAGTCTCTCAGACCCTCACAGCCAGTGCCATGGGAAACTCTGCGAGGTTAGAGACGCTGAAGCTGTGTGCCCCACTTACACCTAAGCTGCAAGTCCGGGAGAGAGAGAGAGGCCCTTCTAGAAGCTCGCTGAGCCAGTTCTGGCAGCCCTGAGCAGTTTCTGAAGCATTGCTTGGGCAAACAGGTCTCCTAAGGAGAGATGTGCTTAGGGGGACGGAGCACCCGCGCGCAGAGCCACCCCGTCCTGTGACACCTGCAGACATGACAGGATGCGAACCTGCTTAGCGCCAGCAGTTTGTGCAGACAGGCTGCAGTGAGGGGGCCCGGGCCCGCCCAGCAAGGCCTCCAGTCAGAGTGCATTAGCTCGGTTCTTGTTTCGGCCAAGCAGTCAGATTTGCTGATGTTCTACCTTAAGTGCCTTCTCCACAGACATCCCTCTTGTGTTGACTGTCCGCCCAGCGAGTGTCTCCTGGGTCAAGACGAGAACACACTGCAGCGGCTTGGCCCGGGAGTCAGCGCCTGCTCAGCCAGGCTCTTTCCGCTTTGGCTCCCGACAGGAAGGACCCAGTCCAGCTCCAGAAGTGGTCCTGGCTGGGGTCTGTAACTCCCTTGAAACCCCGAGGGGGCCTGGGGAGTGCAGTGGCCACCATTTGCACAGCCAAGGCGTTCATTGTGGCCCCACCCAAGGCCCTGGTACCCGCGGACCTTAGAGCTGCTTCTGAACGCAGGTCAGACTGAGCACGTAGTCTTGCGAGGGAGGTGATGAGTACTGTCTTCTTGTCAGGCCTCAGAGAAAGGGCGTGCAGCTCAGTATCGGAGACCAGGATCTCAGTCCTGTCCTTACTGCATTGTCACATGGGATTGTTCTCCGTTCTGCTTCGATTTCACGGCAGTGTTTGGACTCGGACTTTGGAGGGACAAAGTCTTTCACCAGCACCCAAGGGTTTGATCGTACAAATACACCTGCTGCACGAATGCCTCTGCCTGTTGCTTAAGATGAATCGTGTTTGCCCTTGGCACAGAAGTCCCGGATCTTGGCGAGCTTTGTTTGTTACAGGACATTGATTTCACTTGCGTTTCCCCTCTGCGAAGTCAAAGCTGTCATATCGTCACGTCAGCTGGCGCCAAGACAAGATTCGTGGCAGCCCCTAGGTTGCTGAGCTTCGAGGTGTGTTCGGTAAAAGGTGTCGGCAGGTTCTCAGGTGAGGTTGCTGTACGTGGGGTGGATCAGGCAGAGGGGCCGGGAGGATGGGGAGCTCCAGGTGCAGGGTGAAAGGACTGTGGAGGTGGGAGTTCTGAAGAGGTGGTTTCTGAGGAGGTCAAGCGGCCCCGGGGCCAGAGCACAGTCACAGGTGACCAGCTGACCTGCAACATGGGTGTGATAGCTGCGCACTTGCAGCCTTCTTCTGGGTTGCTGGCAGACACGAAGTACGCGCAGTATCCCATGGCTGGAAGCCCATTTTACAGTTATAAGCCTAAGATTTTATATCTGAAGTGAAGACATTATCTGGCATGTGGTATTCAGGTTTTAAAAAGGGTCAAATTTCAGAATCTTCATGGCTTTTTTTTTTTTTAAAAAAAGTAAAGGGCGCCTCTGCGTCCAGTGCATGGCCCTCTTGAAACCCAAGGTCCCATCTCCCGTGGACATCAGTGACCTCCAGCCTGGCTGCCTGGGAATGCGGAGCTGCGGGCGGACTTCGCGGAGCCCGAGCCTGCTTTGCAGAGCCCGGTGGCTTTGGAACAGCCAAGAAAAAGGTCAAGATTATCTTTCGGAGTTGTTTTCCTGGGGATTTTAAGAACTGATGGAACAGCCTGGGTGATTTCCGGTTCGGGGGATTGTGGGAAGGTGAGCAGTTGTGAAGTGTTTTGTTGTAGAGTAGTGATCCTTAAGGGAGCTGACTGTAGACAGGAACGCACCCCAGCGCAGTTGTTTGCTCCCTGTTGTTGGGGAGTGCAGTTTTACATGGCAAGCACAGGCGCTCCCCGGCTTTGAGATGCCTTTATTAGGAAGTGTGTCAGCCCTTCATTTTGCTACAATCTTTCCCCTTCTTCCTGTTGAAAACTAAGTTCTGAAATATAGTTTGTTGTCTCTTCCATCACTGAAAAATGTGTTCCTTTCTCACTACGGGCAGTTCACACAAGGCAAAAATAGTCAACAGCTGGTTTTAGTGTGTTACGTAACTTTGCTGTGTAGCAAACTAATTTCTACAAGGTTTTCATCCTAAACCTCAAATCATGTAATTAATAATTTGCCTGTTTATTTATGACCTAATTGTGATTCTTTTATTAATAAAAGCTAATGGAAAAGGATCCTTTATTAAGCTGATGACTAGACCTACATTTAATTTTCCTGCAGTGTATGAAGAAGTATTGTACCAGAGTATTAAAAGATATGTAATATTTTATTGATAAATCTATCCTTTAAAAGGAGTACGTTTTAGGATGTCATCATTTTGATGTGAATCATGTAAATGTTGATAATATGCTGTTTATTATACATTTAGTGTTTCCAGAGATTCACCCAATTGCCTTTTTGCCCACGTATATTATGTAGTCTATTTGCAATTGTTTTTTTTTTTTTAAAAACAGTGACATTAAAAGAATAGTTTATGTAGAGAAACATTAGTGGATGTTAATTGTCTCCCCACCTGTATTTATGGGTGTTAGTTCAACTGCTTTGCTAGTTACAAAGCTGTATTATCAGAGTAAAAGTGTATTTGTAAACTGTATGGGAACTAAAATTAGGAATAAAACCATTTTCTTATATTGTTGTAGTTGTCATTCACTTCATCAGAAATGTCCAGGGGAAATGCGGTCGGGGTCCTTTGACCTTTCACATTAGCAAAATGCTGACGTCATTTTTAAAAATTAATTTGAAAAAACATTTATTTAGTTTATCTGAGAGAGACAGAGGCAGACTGAGAGTGCCGCTCATCCCTCCCGGTTTACTCCCGCAGTAGCTAGGGCTGGGCCAGGGCTGGGCCGGGGTGACCTGGGAGCCAGCATCTCAGTCCAGGTCTCTCATGCGGGTGGCAGTCACCCCTCCCAGGGTGTGCACTGGCAGGAGGATGGCATCAGGAGTGGAACTGGGACTTGCACGCTCTGGTACGGGGTGTGCGCATCCCAGTCAGGGCCTTGGCTGCCAGGCCAAACAAGCATTTAGCAGCTCCTGTCCAGAGGGTGACTTAGAAACAGAATAAATGGCTCGATTCTCCGGAGTTCATTGAGTGCCTGCTCTCTGGAGAGCTCGAGAAGACAGGAAGGAAATTCTGTTTGAAGAACCTGTTGCATCTGGGTCCAGTGTGTAGGAAATGGTTAGAAACCGCAGAGGGCTGGCCGTGGGTCTGACGTCCAGGACATCAGCTCTTCCCTGTAGAGTTGACTTAGGCCCCGGGCACACGTGACCACCGTCTCTGACAACAGCGAGGATCAGCATGAGTAGAAAGAAGCCATTTTGTACCTAGCAAACTAGAGAGCTGTAAGTTCTGTGTTGTGAATGTCAGGGAGGGGTTGGGTCTCCGCTCACTGTGAGATGCCTCCCTGTCTTTCTCACCTGAGTCCCTGCATTTAATGAGATCCAGACACCCACCTGTGCAGGAATGACAGCGCCGCTTCGGGATGCCAGGCACTGCACCCTGAGTTTCCGGGGGCACAACCCGTAGCACCCTGCCTTTGGCCTCTGCCCTGCCTCCCGCCTCCCCACGCAGCCACCCACTCCGCACTTCGGTGTCAAACACTTCGCTCGGCACCGTTCTCTTCTCGTGCTTCCTCACCGCCCTTCGTCCATGGTGGCTGCTCGCCAGTGGTCACTTGCACATGCTGATGCTCTTGCTTTCTTTAAAAAAATATTTCCTTATTTTCATTTCATTGGAAAGGCAGAGAGACAGAGGGAGAGAGATCTGCCATCTACTGGTTCACTCCCCAAATGCTTGCAACAGCCAGGGCTGGGTCAGACCAAGGCCAGGAGCCTTGAAGTCCATCTGGGTCTCCCACATCAGTGGCAGGGGCCCAAGCACTCGAGCCATCATTATTGCTACCTGCAGGGTGTGCATTAGCAGGAAGCTGGATTGGAAGGGGAGGAGCAGGGGCTCCTACCCCGCACGCACTCCGGTGTGGGATGCGGGGCCCAAGTGGCGACTTCGCTGCTGTGCAAAACATCCTCCCCTCGGTGCTTTTTCTTGAAATGCTCTCCCTTCCGATCTTCCCACAGCTGACTTCTGTCATTCAAGTTTCACTCAAATGGCACCTTTCCAAGACACCCTCCTGGGCCACCCTGAACCAAGGGAGGACTTCCCCAAGGTGGTTTGAGCTGTAGGCTCAGCAGGATGGGAGGAAATACTCCCAGCACTCTTCTCACCCTCTAATCTGTTGTTGCCTCCAATTGGTTCAACCCATGTGCAAGCGGGGGTGGGGTGGGGTGGGGTGGGGTGAGGGGGGGTGGGGGGGTAGGCGTGCTGTGCAGTGCTGCCCTCTGCTGGGCTCTGTCTCCCAGGCACAGAACAGGGCAGTGTGGTCTGGGCTGAGGGCGGGAGGCAAACAGAGAAAAACAGCTGCTGGAGGCTTGCCTTTTAGATTTTAAAAGGCAATGTCCTGTTACTTTATTTAAAAGTTAATATATTTGTTATTTATTTGAAAGACAATGACAAAGGAGAGGCGGGGGTGGGGAGAATCTTCCATGTGCTGGGTCATTCCCCGAATGCCCACAATAGCCGGGGCTGGGTCACTCTGAAGTCAGGAGCCAGGCATTCCATCTGGGACGCCCACATGGGTGGCAGAGACCCAGCCACTTGGGCCATCCCCTGCTGCCTCCCAGGGCGTGCATTAGCAGGAAACCGGATGGGAACAGACTGAAACTCAGGCTCCGTGATACGGGATGCCAGGCCCCGCAACCACTGGGCCCCGGGGCCCTTGTCTTTGAAGCTATGGTCTGGCGCCGAACCGCACCTGGGACTGTGAGAAACACAGAGACTCAGGCCCCGGCTCCGCAGAATCTGCGTTTCTGACGAGGGGCTGTCCCCCGGGGATTTCGTGGGGAGATCAAGGCCGTGGGAGAAGATACCTGCGCTTGGGCCAGTTTTTCTGCGGCATCTGGGACTTGAGAATCATTGGATAGCACGCAGGCGCCGTGATTCCAGGCTGCAGGGTGTGGGGCGATCCCAGCACAGAAGATGAAGACAAGCCTCTTCCCCCAGATGTCTGCAAATAGCTTCAGATATTCTGAGACATCACACCTACCGAAGCCGCATCTGCGAAATCCTAAGCATATGTGAAACCCATCGAACCAGGAGAAGAGAAGGAGAAACGATTTAAAGGAAGCGAACTCTGAAATTAAAGTCTGCTCGGGAAGTGACAGATGTCTGGGTCTTGACAGATTCTGAGACTTGTAAGATTTTTTTTTTCCATTTTCATTCACATGTGTTCGATGGTTGCTTTCTGCATCACCATTATTTTTTTACTCATACTAAAATCAATTTTCTTCTTTAGAAAGTTTTTTTTTTTTTAAGATTTGTTTATTTATTTGAGTTACACAGAGAGAGAAGGAGAGGCAGAGAGAGAGAGAGAGAGAGAGAGAGAGAGAGGTCTTCCATCTGCTGGTTCACTCCCCAGTTGGCTGCAATGGCCGGAGCTGCGCTGATCCAAAGCCAGGAGCCAGGAGCCAGGAGCTTCTTCCAGGTCTCCCACGTGGGTGCAGGGGCCCGAGTGATATCGGAGATGACCCCCTAGAATATATACGAAAATGTGACCCCTTAGAGTTCCCCAGAAGTCCCATCTGGGGTGCCACATATGCTATCAGAATTTGGGGTGCCATACGATATCACCATATGCTTATTAATAAATCCCCAATATTAATAAGCCTGAGAGGGTTCTTGGCTAATATTTAGAGAAGAATTCTAAATACAGGCATAAATAAACGAGGCAGCATGGTACATTTTAGGCTTTTATTTCATGCGAAAAATGCATAGGAGAGTGAGAGCTTTATCTAAGAGCAGTAAATGGGTTCATTCCGAGCACCAGGAACCAGCCACGTGGAGGAGCATCTAGGCCAGGAAGCCTAGAGCACATGGCCCGAAGGCCACATGCCCTGGAGACACAGGGCTACAGCCAGCCCCCTGCTGGCAAGAGACCAGGGAAGAAGAGAAGGCCTGGACAGTCCAGGCTTTTAACCCACTTCCAAAGGGGAGTGGTTAATTAACCTGATTGGCTGGTGGGCACCCAGGTATGGCCAGGTAGGGGAATGAGGTCACACAGGGACATGGCAAAGGTATCAGGTAGGGCGTAAGGTCACACAGGGGCGTGGCGAAGGCGTGGTCTTCTAGCTCACAAACCTAATTGATTTTAACCTATTTGCCTGCCTACTTCATGAGGACGTGGGCCGTCTTCTACTACTTTCCCAAGTCATAGCAGAGAACTGGATCGGAAGTGGAGTAGCCGGGACTCGAACAGGCGCCCGTATGGGATGCCAGCACTGAGATAGCGGTTTTACACAATACGCCACAGCACCCTAGAAAGTTTTCCTTTCTAAAGAAAGGGTTCCTTTGTCTGGAGGCCTGAGATAATGTCTCCTGAGGGTGCAGTGGTGTGAGTTAGACAAACCCGAGTCCCGGCACTGACTGTGTTTCTGCATTTGAAAGTACCCGCAGGGTAAGCCGCCATCCCGTATGGGCGCTCTTTCTAGTCCCGGCTGCTCCCTGCTCATGCGCCTGGGAAAGCGGTGGAAGATGACCCTAGTGCTCTGGCCCCTGCGCCCACGTGGGAGACTCAGATGGAGCTCCAGGCTCCTGGCGTGGACCTGGCCCAGCCCTGGCGACTGCGGCCATGTGGGGAGTGAACCAGCAGATGCAAGATCTCCTAGTCGCTTCCTCCGTAGCTCGCCTCGCCTTGGGGCTGTGCGCGGGCAGCGCTCTCATCCGTGATTGGGTGGTGCGTGGGGGCTGCTCAGGGACAGCCAATCCGGCCTCGCAGCCGCTAGAGGTGGGCGTGGCCGGCCGCGGCCTCTTGGGGGCAGCAGCTGGGCCTCGCGCCCGGCCTCTGTCACCCACGCTGACAGGGGCCCTCAGGCCCTGAACACCCCCTCCGCCCCAGGCACTCCAAACAGTCGTATTATTAGCCTGTGGGGAGCAATCCGGACTGGACTGAGTTACTGGAATTAAGACTTATTCTATGCATCTGCTCTCCTCTGTGGGGAGCAGCTCGGACTAGACTGAGTTACTGGAATTAAGACTTATTCTATGCATCTGCTCTCCTACAATATGGCGCTGGGAGAGGAGAGAACAGCTTCTACCCAGCTGCCTCCAGTTCAACCAATAAACTGTAGGACTTGCTCCTGATTGGAGAGCAGCGTACTCGGCGTGTGGGCAGCCAAGTTAGGATTGGCGGAGGAGGACTATGAAGGAGGAGAGAGACGGCATGCACCGGGAACATCTATGGGGAACATCTAGCTGAAGGAACACCCGTGCAGCCCCCCGAGAGAGCCGGCCGGCGGTGTGCCGCTCCCCTGCGGAAGTGGGGAATGCGGCCAGGGGGAACTGCCCTTCCACGGAGGTGGAAGGGATAGTAGCCAACCCGGGAAGAACCAGCAGCAAACCCGGGGAGGGCCGAGCAGACGAAAGAACAGCGCAGGGTCCTGTGTCGTTCCTCCACGAAGAGGGGGAGCGACATAATGGTGCCGTGACTCGGATATGAAGCCTAGGCAGGGTTTAGTGTCGTTCCTCCATGAAGAGGGGGAGCGACATAATGGTGCCGTGACTCGGATAGGAAACCTAA